AGTTAAAATAAGCCTTGGTAGAAACCCTCATATCAAGGCTGTATGAGACAAACCAATAGGATGAGAAAGGTCCCAAAAAGAGGCAATAGAGTCAGAGACAATCCCACTCCCACTGTTAGGAGTTCTGCAAGAATATCAACCTACACAACCATAGTTTGTATGTAGAGGACCTAGTTCAGACTCATACAGGATCCATAATAATTTCTTCTGTCTCTGTGATCTCCTGTGAGCCCTACTTAGTTGATTCTGTGGATTGTGTTCTTGTAGTGATTTGACCCATCTGGCTTTCTCCACTTTTTTTCTGCAGTTCTACTCATTCTTCCTAGTGTTCATCCTAGCATAAGGACATTTTCTCAACTATGTTGAGAGCAGTTGTATTCATAATAGCCAGAAAATGGAAACAACCTAGATGTCTCTCAACAGAAGACTGGATAAAGGAAATGCAGTATATTTATACAGTGGACTATTACTCAGATGTTAAAAACAAAGATATAATAACATTTCCAAACAAATGGGTGGAACTAATAAATATCATTCTAGGTGAGGTAACTCAGACCTCAAGTGTCTTGAGGGTTAGGTGCATCTTCTCTCACTGAGGTTAGACCAGGCAGTCCTATGTTGTATATGTGTCTGGGGCCTCATATCAGCTGGTATATGCTGCCTGGTTGGTGACTCTCAGTGTCTGAGAGATCAAGGGGGTCCATGTTAGTCGAGGCTGCTGGTCTTTCTATGGGGTCACCCTCCTCTTCAGATTCCTCCAGTTTTTCCCTTATTTGACCACAGGGGTCCCCAGGTTCTGTCTTTTGGTTGGGTGTAAGTATCTGCATTTGACTCTTTCAGCTGCTTGTTGGGCCTCTCAAAGGGTGCCTTGTTAGGCCCCTGTCCATAAGCACACTGTAGCCTTAGTAATAGTGACAGGCCTTAGAGCCTCCTCTTGAGCTAGATCCCAATTTGTGCCTGTCACTGGACATCCTTTCCCTCAGGCACTTCTCCAGTTTTGTCCCTGCAGTTCTTTTAGATAAGAACAATTCTGGGTCAGAATTTTTTGACTGTACGATGACAACCCTATCTATCCACTTGATGCCTTATCTTTCTAGTGGAGTTGGACTCCACAAGTTCCCTCTCCCCAATTTGGGCATTTTATCCAAGCTTTGATTCCTCACCTCCCAGGTCTCTAGTATTTTCTAGAGGGTCCCCCCACCTCCTACATCCCAAAGTTGCCTGTTTCCAGTCTTACTTCTGGTCCTCAGGGCTTCAATCCACCCCCCGCCCCAATACTTGATCACATTCCTCTTTTTCCCTCCTTGTCCCCTCTCCCACCAGGTCCCTCCCTCCCTCTGTCTCCTGGGATTGCTTTCTTCTACTTCCCAAGTGGGATTGAAACATCCTCACTTGGGCCTTTTGGTTTGTTAACCTTCTTGTGTTCTATGATTGTATCTTGAACATTCTGTACTTTTAAAGCTAATATCCACTTTTTTAGTAAGTATCATGCATGTCCTATTTGGTCTGAGTTATCTCACTCAGGATGATATTTTCTAATTCCATCCATTTGCCTGTAAAACTCATGATGTCCTTGTTCTTGATAGCTGGTCTGTCACCATATGAACTTGTGCGACTCATATCAGAATCAGACATCTTTCCAGTTCCTTAGGAGTCAGTATTGTCAAGATGCACAAGCTTAAGTAACCATCTTGATCAGTTATCTTATTTCTGTTGTGTCAGTAAAGCTTTGGTTTTACTTATGCCCCCACACTCTCTTTTTCATAATTATTCAACATAAAGATTTCTTAGTTTTCTTTTTTAAATTTTTTTCTCTTTAAGTGTGTTATAAATCAGTTTCTAATTGGAGCATTTTTGTCTTTGCTTAAAAAATGACAGAAATGACCAATGAAATACAAGTTCCAACAGAATTTGCTCAGGCATCTATTTCAATATTTCCAGAAGATGAGCAATATTAAAATAACAAGAAAGGGTATTTGATAAGGCACAATGGAAAGAGGAATGAATAAAGAGTTCACTGATTGCATGTTCATTCTAGTACTAACATGAGACTTATGTTTAAGTGTAGAAGGCAGTGGGAAAAAGGGTCATAGTATATAAGATATGTTATGATTACATATAATATATATGTCATATCTATATATGATATATATTATCTATCATCTATATATATTTCTATCATATGTATGTATGTATGTATGTATGTATATATGTATGTATGTATCTGTCAGCCTATCATCTATCTATCTATCTATCTATCTATCATCTATCCATCCATCTAGAGATTCCTAGTCAAGGTGCTGCCTCTGTCTAGGCATGACAGAGACATTTTAATATTTTTTCTAATTTTGTTACTATAAAATGGTCTAAAGGAGTTGTTATTGGTGCCATTTCTTAAGAAATTTGATCTGGTCCCCATTAACTGGTCAGTCCTGCTCTAGATCATAGCTTTGTTATCACAGATAGTTCTCATTTAGGAGGCAGTTGGAGCAGTAAGAATCTCATCTAATGCAAGATGATTGGAGCTAAAGAAAATAGTTCTTCCTTTTTCTACTTTCAGATGTCTACAAAAGGCATGTTAGGTAGTCAGATACTATCTGAGATATTATACAGTATGCAAGTTAATTGAAACAAAGACAAAATGAAAACAGAAAGGGCAGACTATCATCCAGTATTTAGTTATCTTTTGGGGTCCATATAAAGAATCAATGTTTTCTAGGAAAAGCAGTGCCCGTTATCATTTGTAGGTCTATATTTAGCTTATTTATACTCTAATATTCATTTTGTCTTTCTTCCTGCTGATTGAAAGTTTCATTGACTTCCATAAGTCTATTTCCTTGAGGTACAGTACTAGGTTGCTTATGCAAATACTTTTTTTTAAAATATAGATATTGACTTCTATAAATAACCTTATAGTACTTAATAGTTTTTCTTTATGTTCCTATTTTGTTTTAAGAAATTTCATATTCTTTTTATATCTAGCTCAATCCATTATTCACTCAAAATGAATTAATTACCCTCTATTTGTATGGTTTCCAAAAGTTTATTTGTTATAAACTTCTAGTTTTATTATATTAGAGCCAATAAAGTTATGTCATAGAATTCCAGTTTTAAATATTATTAAAAATTAATGGTAATAGTTTTGTTCTTATTTGTGATTTTAACTCTTATTCCAGACTCTGATACATTAGTTTCTTTTCTGATTGCTCTGACAAGATTTTTAACAAAACCAACTTAAGGAAGGCAGAGTATGTTCTGGCTGAAAGTTAAAAGGTCTAGAGGCTGGAGAGGTAGCAGAAATGTGACAGTTGTTTCCGTGTCTGCAGTCAGAATACAAGAAAGAGAATAGTGGACCTCTCTTGTATATATTTTTTTTTAAATTCAGCTCAGCATGCTAGCCTGTGAGATGGTCCCACACATATTCAGTATTCAGATTATGTTTGCTTTCTCAGTTAGAAATGGCCTCCTCTCTCCCCAAAGCCTGCCTTCTAGGAGACCTAATGCAGCCATGTTGACAATATTGAACATACATCAGGAAACAAAATTTGAATTTAGGAAAAATTGATACTTTAAGGTGTTTTCCTGTGGTGATGCTGTGAAACTAATCTGCCAGTAATTTCTGTATTTTTCATTTCTCTCTACCTTTCTCAGCAGGTGTATATTCTAAGATTTCATGATATTTTAGAAAAAAAAGCATTTTTCAAATTTGGTAATGACTTTAGGGCCAGAAGTGTCTTATATGTGATACGTTCATCAGATATTAATTTAGATCCAACTAAACAGTATAGTTGTCAGGTTCATATTTGTTATCCTGTATCAAATTCACTCTTCTAGTTACTGCCATGCAGTTATATGGTATCCAAAATTATCTTTCTGTTATTTATAAAACAAAGTTTATGGATATGAATTTATATTTCTCTAAGACTTAAAAAGGACAAAATGACTGCTCCTGTGCTCTGATATTGCAGTGTGCTGTTTAGCTACCTTCTATTTCCTGTGGTTAAAACTCTTAGAATCCATTTGAACAGAAAAATAAAGTCTCCTCATTTTGTCTTGTATTGAGGCATACAATTTGATCTACAGGGTTCCTATTCAGTTTGGAATTCATTTCACAGTCCACTAATTGTGTGAATGAGAAAAGGAAATAGATGCTTGTATTCTAAAACATGCCAAACAGATGGCTCAAAGATCACTGCTACTACCCCTGCAAGTATAACCCTCTTCTGTAGGTATGAGATCTGGCATGGATCCCAAACACATGCTGAGAGTCCTGTTAACAGAAGGATTGATAGTCACTGAACCTCTTGTTTGTTATGAGTTTTATAGGCATTATTTTTATCATTGACTCACAAAGTAGCTGGTCACTTGATCAGGTGCAGAACAGTAAAATTCATATTCATTTCACTTACAAAGCCAAATGAACTTTTATTGATATGGAAATTTTCAGCGAAGAAAACAGCACAAGAGATTAAGCTTAGGTTCTTGAAAAGGGATTAACACATACACTGAGATTCAGGCTGTGGGATGGTGCATCATGACTGAGAATAGATATTTGAAAATAGAGCCAAAGACAAGATCTGAGCTTATATCTTAAGCTTTTTAAAGTAACTCTCTTTTAAAAATCTCTCGCTCTTCCTCCTGCACAAGAGAACTGTTTACTTCTATAAAAAATATGTGAAATATATAATCATTCTGAATGTCACAATTTCATCCAGTGTACTTCTCTGTCTGTGGTGAGACAGAATATGATAGACCAAGGGAAAGTGAGAAGACCAATAAAGTGTCTTTATATATTTCCAGCTAAAAAGGCAATACCAGAGTCTGTATGGATTTAGGAGAGAAAGGCCATGTGGGTCAACTGTTCTAAAAGAGTTGTAGTAATATGGTCACTGTGTCTTATCTGAGAGAATCAAAAAGTATAGAGGAAATTGTGTTTTGTCTAATGTAAGGAACACTTCTTAGCCCATTATTTCTCTGTATGTCCTTTCTCTGGCTTCCAGACTGATGCTGCTCTAATGTATGATGCAGTGCACGTTGTGTCTGTAGCTGTCCAACAGTTTCCCCAGATGACAGTCAGCTCTTTGCAATGCAATCGACACAAACCTTGGCGCTTTGGGACCCGCTTCATGAGCCTAATTAAAGAGGTAAGTAGAGAAAAGACTGAGTAAGGACAGTGCAGTTCTTCTAGCACACAATTTTATTTTATAACTGAAACTTCAATTTTTAATGGATTCTTCCTTCATATTTGTGATAACTGAAGTTTCCATTTCCTTCCCTCCTTCCACTTCCCAAGTCCCCTCTTTCACAGATCTACTTTCCCTCCATTTCCTCTTAAGGAAAAAACAACACTCCCAGAGACAACAGCCAAACAAGACAAACCAAAATACAAAGAGACAACTAAATAAAAACTATTATTATAGTCATAAATCAGTTAAGTATCCATCGACATGTCTGCAATGACCTAAATATATGAAGCCTATGACCCATTAAAAGCTTGATTGATGATATTAGCATTATTTTTGAAAATCTGCTTTTCTGACATTTTATTTAAATAAAGACTTAGATTTCTAAAGAATTATTGTATTTTAGGCAATTAACTATGAAGTGTTTTTTTAATTTGAATGTCATTTAGGCTACAATAAATTTAAAATTAATATGTGTGACATAGCTATTTTATCTATGAAACTATATGAAACAAAATATACAATCATTTACTTATATTACCTAGCCAGATTAAAAATTAATGTAACAGGACTAGGAATGTAGTTCAGTGCCAGACTCCTTGCTGAGTGTAGATGAGGCCCAAGTTCAATTCCTATCACTTTGAAACACAAAAATAAAAATAATATATGGATTCACAAAGTACAAAACTTACTTCACACTGTGTAATGGAGTAAGTCATATGACAATATATTGTCTCTCTTCTGATTTTGATCAAGCCTGAAGGAAGAAAAACAAGTGGAAATTTACTCATTTATGCATATGTGCACACATTTTTTTCTATTCCCCCTAAGAAGGGAACCTTTGTTTGCTTAGCACATTCCTCCTGGATAAAAGTTTACATGGTCCATTGTCTTAGCTATTAAAACAATCACAGGCATTGGTACACTTAAGATTTTTCATCATTTTCTTAAGACTAACAACGTATTTTATCATGGAATGAAAATGCAAATAAGATCATGAATAGGGATCTCACAATATTGTTAAACAATTTCCATGCATGCTCATTCTCTAATGTTTACCAAACTCAGTTAGGGGTACCGATTTTCCCTGAAGAACATGATCTTTATTAGTTGCTTCACATTCTCTATTAACTTCGTGTTTAAAGCACTCAGCACTCTTAGAGCTCTGTACATAGATCACAGGTCTCCGTGGTGAAAGAATTGATTTTCCTGAACTCAGCATTTGAAGATTATGACTGTGATGTGTGTCAGCTAGCCCGGAAAGAAACAGCTATATGACATTCTCCACTGTATTTATTGTAGGGTGTAATTGAGAGCTTTGTCCACTAAATCACAGTATTCTCCTTAAGAGGACCAACAGGAGAAATTTCTCTGAGTTCTCCATACCAGGAGAGGCTGTTTATCGCAAGCAGCATGTATGACTCCAAAATATGAATCCTGCATATTACAATTCCATCATTTTTTTTTCTTTTCTGCTTTGGTTGCTAGGAAGTTTAAAATTGAGTATATTTGAGAATTTTTATTACTTGCCTGGTTTGGGCTCTTATATTTTTACTTTTGTCTACCTAGTTTCATTTTGCTGTTCCCTACATATATTCTGATGCTTTCTGATTCTTTTATCTGTCGTTACATTATTTTAAATCTTTTACTTATTATTTGAATATTTTTTCTTTTGAAGAAGTTGAACAAACTATTTTCTATATAGAGCAGTTTTTGCATGTATAAATTTATGGGATATATATTGTAATACGATACAGATAATAACCATGTTTTCTATTTCATCTGTAATTTAGTAGCTGAAAACTATTTTGAAAGGCCTGCGTACTAGTATCAAAGAAGCCAACAGGGTGACTAAAAAGTAGTACATTAATGATATTAATTTATATTCACTATTAAAATATTAACCTTAATCTTTTAAGAATCGTGTCTTTGGGCTACTAGTGTAAATTATTTCAAACTTTGCAGTTACATGCATATGCTGAAGCATTCAAAACTTTCAAGTAATTATTATTACAAGCTATTCTATTTCTAGATGCCATATAGTGAGAAATATACACATTTTGCTAAATACCAGACAAAATAGGAGAATATTTTTATTTAAAGTAAAATCTACCTATTTACTCACCTTGGAGGGATTATATTCTACCTCATATTTCACTGAGTATCTTTTACAGGCACTGTAAATGATATAAAATAATTATGAAATACTTTTCTTGTTTTCTTCAGGGAATGTAACTTTGTTTATTTTAAGGGAATACTGTTAACTAAAGAAGCATAACAGGCTCTTGTGGATTCCATCTGTTTTCATAGTAATAAGTTCACTACTGTTATAAATTTAGGGAATACATTTTAATTTTGAACAATACTGAGTGATATAGTTAATAATTCATATACTATACCTTCCTTTTTTTTGTTAAATGACCTTCAGTATATAAACCAAAATCATTAAATATACCTAAGGAAAAACATAGCAAATACATTGATAATACAAGCTAAACATTTATACTCAAGTTGGAAATTATCAAAGAAAAAATTAAACCTTTCACATGTCAAGACAAAATAACCCTTAAAATATGATTCCATATAATTTAAGAGAAGAAAGGAGCTTGGTTTCCCAGTAATCATGGAAAATATTTCTTGTGAATTATGAGTATCTGTTTTTTGTTTCTTTTTGTTTTTCAGGCTCACTGGGAAGGTCTCACAGGCCGAATAACATTTAACAAAACCAATGGATTACGGACAGATTTTGATTTGGATGTGATCAGTCTCAAGGAAGAAGGTCTGGAGAAGGTATGTGCGCTCTTCATTTTGAATATTTAATCATTCTATGAAATTTTATAATGAAAATAGAAGACATCTTTGTTACAGTCACATTTCATGTTTCTTTAACTTTAAGTCATTTCCATATAATCATGAACATATTATTAGTACAATAACGGACAATTAAGATTTAAAACTAAAGGTTTATCTTTAATTTATAAAAAGATTTATTTATTTCACTTTCGGGTATTTGATTATTTTTCCTGCATCTATATATGTGTACCCCACTCATGCCTATTGCCTGTTATGGTCAGAAGAAGCTGGAGGTACTGAGGATTCTTGCTGCCATTTGCTGATAAGAATACTGTGTAATTGTTCTCTACTTAAAATTGGGCTTTAAAACAATAAACACAAAATAACATAAACAAAACCACCAAAACTACCTCCACAACAACAACAAAACATTTTTCATGCTGGGTTATTGTAAAGCTAAACATCTAAATTAAAACACGTAAATTAGGTGATACATGAACAGAAGAAGTAACACTGGCTCCCCTTACTTTATTCTGTGTCTGTGGTTCAATCACTCATTGTAACAATACTGTAGTCTGATAGTATTTGTGATGTATCAATTAGGCGTTTTCTTATAGTTTATTGAAGTGCCTAGATAATCAGATATTGTGATAAGGACTTTAAAAAGTTCTATTTTACTGAAATACTGTTTCCTTAAAGAAAGTAAAGCAGATTTCATCCAATAATTGCATTTGGAGTTGAGTTAGGAGCATGGTTTCTCCAGCCTAAGATACTAGCATATATGAATGCTCAAACTACCCAGGAGAGAAGTAAAATGCACATTTCTTTTATAGTGTCATAAAACAAATATGCATATATTATGACCAATAGATTACTTGGGTGAAAAACAATTATTTCCTCCTACTGAGTATTTCAGACTGTACCATTTGATAACACAATGTAGTGAGGAAAGCATTTTAAAGAACAGGAATACAAGCAGCCATGACACAGTGACTTCTAAATTATCTTGTTTCTAAGATGAGAGAAACATCTATATATATAATGGGTATCATGTATATATGATAATCCCACAATGCAAGTAAAGTAGAACTGTGAGTTAATAATACTGGCATGAAATCTCTTAACTGGCTTGTATTTACTACTGAATGCTGAGTATTTACTTTATAAATTAATGTGTACAATAATTGTCCTTAGAGCTATTTTATTCAAGTCCCCAATTGATGAATATTTATGAAAAAACTGAAAGATCATCATATGATGTACTTAGAATTAGCCTTTGATTATTGGGAAAATACTGAGTAGTAGAAATTGACTTTTTTCATAATTGCTCAATATGGGTAAATGTATTGCACAGGATTTGAGTCAACCATTTTATGTGTATTTATAAAAGCACTTATAATCGTATATGCATCTGTAGAAGGAGTAAGAATTGAAGTAAAAAGACTAGCTTTAACTTATATATGGGATCTGTATAAACATCATAACTTCAAATAATTTTGGCATGAGTTTATAAATTTAAAATTATTCTATAAAACTAAAATATATAGAATCAGTAACAGAAAATAAAACATTCACCAAACCTTTGTGACCATGTCAAAGACTGACAAAATCATTGTTATGTCTTTAAAGAAAATTGAAAGAACCAGATGGCATACAAGAAAGTCACTCATTGTAAGAATAACATTGGGGGATCAGAAGAAAAATAATAGTAGATGAGAGAATTAACCGTAGAATGATATTTATTCATCATTTTTTACAATATAGAAAGGTCTCAGACAATTAGTTAATGTCTACAGTTTTAATTGGCTCAAATCCATTCTTAGTCATGTATATTCATAGACAATATTTTAATCTCTCTTCAACAGTGTCTTCAACTCTATCTGGGGCAATTATAGTGTGTATATATGAACACTAATTCATTTTGTTGATTTGACTTTTTTTCTAAAAAGTATAATCAGCCTACAAATGAAAAGGGTGAGTTTTTACCTTGATGACATTCATAATTTAGAATGGCCAATAGATGATCAAGAAGGCGGTAATTCCATATCCAATTTTATGATGATTGAATTTTGAAATTCATTATTTTACCCCACCTATGTTTTGCAATTTCTCATCTCAGAAAAGTTAATATGAAGGTTTCTTTTTTAGCAGAAGTAATTAAGAACATCAAAGTATATAAAATAATATGCTAGAGGAATCATTATATAGATAAAATTTGGTGATTTTAACACTCTTAATTCTGTTTGCCACAATTGAGAAGGAGAAATAAAGAAAACGTGTAAAAGTATCTATTACTTCACTTGATCCTCATCACATAAGATCAACTAAAGGAGTATTTAAGTATTAAATAAATCAGATATTTTGATCAAAATATGGCTTAAACAGCAATGAGAGGAGTAACTAATTAGCTATTTATTTATAGCAAGAATACTGACAGGTGTTATAAGCATTTCCATGTGTTTCTTAGGCCTTTGGAATTAGTTTGTGAGAGGAATGTGAATAATTTTAGAACTTTAGACTAAAATGCAGTATATAGAGCTTAACAGAACATTGTTGGGCAATTTTGATAGGTTATAATGCAAAAATAAATGTGGATAATATAGTTCTTTCTGATTTATGAGCTCTCAGAGAGAAAACATGGACTCTACTGGGAACTGAGATGGACTATCTGGCTGCTTTCTGTTTATGTTCTGAGTTCAGTGAGGCCTTAAAATATTCTAATTCAATTGGCAGAAGAAATATCTAGACAGTATAATCTACTCACACAGCTCTTATTCAGATTCTCAGCATGAGAGAGAGAGGTGCGGGGGGGAGGGAGGGAGGGTGGTGTAGTGATACAGACAGCAGAGCAACGAGAGGTCGATTTTTTAGTCCTTCGGAAATGTCATAATTATCATGATTCCCAGATGTTGGATGTGGACTTGCCGAAGGAAATGTTTTCTCCCAATAGATTTCTGTCTTGCTTTGGTCATATTTTTCCATACAATGTCTCATTTATCATTTTTGGAATGAAAATTTCTCTTTATATGATTATATATTGGAACTATGCAGCTTGTTTTTTATTTTATAGATGATTATAGTTTAAGGATTGCCTTGAATTCATGAACTGTTTTTGAATGTTTGAGATTATGAAGAGTTTAGAGATGAATTATTTTCAATTTTTTTCTCTTGAGACAGATCTCATGTATGGCAGACTGGCCTCATTCCCCACTGTGTAACAGAGAAAGACACTGAACTTTTGATCTAGCTGCTTTCTTCTGAGTTCTTAAAAGCATGTATTATCTATCATGCTAAACTTGTGTGGTTCTGTTGACCAAACCTGAAGCTTTATGCATGTTAGTCAATCATTTCCAAAATGAGGCCTATCTCTAATGCTAAACACATTTGTTGTTGTTGTTGTTGTTATTAGATTCTTAGTGTAAACTTGTGGTGTTTGAGGCTGTCAGTTTGACAGGGCCTAAAATCATCTTTGGGAGGAAAATTCTAAGAATGATGTTTAGGGTATTTTATGTAAGGTTTTGATAAGAAGACTCACAATAAAAGTAGGCATCATTGTACACTGAGCTTCATTCCCAGCCTAAATAGAAGAGGAGAAATTTAGGTGAAATATGACCATTCTCTTTGCATCCTTACTGGATTCAATGTGAGTAGATATCTCAATTTTCTAATGCCAAATTTTCCCACTATGATCAACTGTACCTCAAACTGGGAGCCAACATTAATCATTGATTTCTTAAGCTACTAATTGTTCAGTAGCATGAGCAAAATAACTAATACATTTTAATAACTTATGAAACATGAGTCTAATTAGAATATTTGGTAGAAAAAATAAACCAGCACTTCGTAGTTTTATAATTATATAGAAAATAATCCAGAAATAACAGATAAGTTCTTGTTAAAGAGAAAGAGAAGTGTGATATCTTCAGGGCACTGAGCACTAATAACTGTGATTGAAATAAATTCTTCCCATTTTCCCATCAATTTTACAGAGGCATTGGCTAGAACCCTGTGTGATTGACAATAAACCAAGAAAGATAACCAACAGCACCTCTCTTTATGTATCTGTAGATGGTGCCTTCCTTCAAGCAGGGCAGAGGAAATTAGGTACCATTCGAGATATATTCTATGCTAGAAAATAAGACAGATAATTTTTTTGTGGAAGAAGCTTCTGTTTACTGTTCAAAATTACAAAAATGAAAACTGGTAGTTTTTGACACTTAAATTATTTTAATGTGAACAAAGGGCATATTGTCTCTTGTGCATCCAAAATGCTCTTAGAATATTCCGGAGCACTTTTCTACAAATATAGCTATGATACAGTCCTCAAAGGCATCTTTGTTTTTATCCTTAGATTCCGTTCATCACAGCAGCCAGAGAGAGGTGATTCCCAAAACATGTTGGTCATGCTGTTGTTTAAACCAGTGTTTCTCAACCTGATGGTCCTGACTCCATTGTGGTCACATATCAGATATCCTGTATATCATATATTTACATTATTATTTATAACAATAGCAAAATTACACTTATGAAGTAGAATCAAAATAATTTATTGTTTGGGGTCACCTCAACTCGAGGAAACGAATTAAAGGGTCATGCCACTAGGAAAGTTGAGAACCAGTGGTTTAAACACTTGTGGCTTCCCTTACACAAAGCATTTGCTCCAATGTCTGAGGAAAAGTTATCTTTTGCAATTGCATTGGGAACAAAGAATGGCAATAATAATATTTCAGATGCCTGGGACTATGGGTCATCATTTTTAAGGAATTAGAGTATTTTATAGAGCAGGTGAGGTGATGTCTATTGTTAAAGGATTGCATACTACACAAGTATAAGATGTGACCCCTAATGATAACATTTTAAATATTTGACTCTTTAATCCGTTGAAGATATAGACATTATTGCCTTTTTTAGATTTTTTCCTTTATGGTAATGAACATAATTCCCATATTTTTTTTTATTTTTAGTGATCTATAAAGAAATCCAGCTACTGTTTTTAT